CATTTAACCATTGAGTGAGACCTACGTAGCAAACACTGCAGCAAAGATGTGGAGCCCAGGTTCTTTCTTGATCCGCCACCTTTACTCCAAAGTAATGGTAGTAGGCAATCTTTATTCTGTTTGACAAATTTTTTCGCTGATCACGAGGTGTAAATTGCCCACAAATATAACAAAAATTGTCTGGTTCATTCAAACAACTACGGTTAGATTTCTTCATTTTTATCACTGGATAAATTTAAAATTAATTTAGAATTGTATATTTATAATATAGTTCTGGAATAGTGTATTTATATAACAAAATTGAACAAAAAAAGAATAAAAAGAAGAGATGACTAATAAAATTTAAGGGAAACAAAATAGATTCAAAGAATAAAAGACAAAGATAATAAAATAGAACAAAGAAAAACATTTAGATATTTAAATTTGGTATGAAAAACTTGAAATTGAACATTAAATACAGCAAAATTTAAAAAAAATAAAAAAAACAAATAACTAAAAAACTGTATGTGCTACAAAAATTCTGATTACATATTTGAAATCAGCATCAAAAACTCTATATGGATAATATAATTTTGCTCAAGTAGCAGACACAAAGTTAAAATTTGTTGTCTAGCGTTATTTTCTGGCAATCAGTCAGCAGATGAAGTTTACAATTTTGAACGCCACTCACCTCTCAATGATTTATTACAAATAATTCATCTCTCGCTGATTCTGCAATTAATATTTGTTCCAATTTGCATTGTTTGTTATTTATTGCTACAATTATAATAATTGTTATTATTAGTATTACTAGTATTATCATTACTGTTGTTATTGTTTTTATTATTATTAAGTATTATTCTTTATCGTCTTGTGTTTTTATTTAACCAGTTTGTAAAGTAAACCAATGGAAGATTTTTGATGAATGAATGAAAAGATGAACGAACGAACGAATGAACAAATGAATGAACAAATGAATGAACAAATGAATGAACAAATGAATGAAAAAATGAATGAACAAACGAATGAACAAACGATTGAACGAACGAACGGACGAATGAACGAATGATTGATTACTTCGAATAGATAAATATATGAAGAACGAACAATCGAAGCAATGAACAAAAATAAATGAATTAATTAATGAAGAAAAGAAACTGAGGAGCAGATGAATGAAAGAACGAACAAATAAAAGACAGAGATATTAGCTTGCGAAATACACCGTAAATGCGTGCTTTGTATTACAAATGATGTATGTATCAATGCGTTGGCCGGCTCAAATGAAAATTGACCTCCTGAACATAAATACATACCTACGTACACACACACACACACACTCACACACACACTCACACACACACGCACACACACACACACACACACACACACACATACATACATACATACATACATACATACGTGATATGAGACGACATTCATTTATTACAAATGTTACTGAATTTATCGATGACAGTGTCACGTGATGAATTTGTTGTTGATGATGACGATGACGATAAGTAGTAGTAGTAGTAGTAGTTGTAGTAGTAGTAGCAGTAGTAGTAGTGGTAGTAGTAGTGGTAGTAGCAAAAGTAGTGGTAATAGTTGTTGTAGTGGTAGCAGTAGTAGTAGTATGAAAATAGATGAATGGATAGATGTGTTTCAGTTGTATTGTATTGTTGTGTTGAATGGAAGGTAATGGAGAATTAGTCAAAAAACTATAAATCACGATTATTAAAAATAATATTTGTAATTATGTGTTTGTGTGTGTGTGTGTGTGTGTGTGTGCATGTTGTGTGTGTGTGTGTGTGTGTGTGTGTGTGTGTGTGTGTGTGTGTGTGTGTGTTTGAAAATGGTTAATTTTGATTCTGACTAATAATGATGATGGTAATGAAAGTAATGCCATTATTGATGGTGACGATGATGACGACGATGATGACGACGATGATGGAGATGATGATGGAGATGATGATGGAGATGATGATGACGATGATGATGGAGATGATGATGACGATGAGGATGACGATGATGATGATGATGACGACGACTATGATGATGATGATGGCGATGATGACGATGTAGGTTGTGATAATGATGGTGGCAGTGACGGTAATGATTGTAACGTAATTAAGAATTGTTTGTGTCAATCGAAGAGCACTTAATTGTAGTCAATAATTACTCAGTTCCTTAACCGCCATTCTCATCGTCATCATCATCTCCATCACCATCATCATTTTTATCATCATCATCGTTATCGTCATCATCATCATCATCATAATCGTCTTCACCATCGTCACCAATAACATCATCATCATTATTCTTATCATCACCATCACCGTATCATCATCATCGTCTTCATCGTCGTTGTCTTCTTTATTATTTCTCCGCAATGACTCGGATTGTGGTGGTGAGTGAAATTTTCGAATTTGATGTTCTTTGGTGTTTTTAGATTTTTTTTTTTTGTTAAATTACTTTTTCTTTGGACATTGTTTTATCGCCGTGTAAACAAACATACCGTCATTTTAATTCTTATTTCGTAGTTTTGAAGTTCCTAATTGTCTTTTTTCCAAACGTTTGTCAGTTTTTTAGGGCTATTTGTCATTAATTGAGAATATTTAATTTAGTTTTTCGTAAATTCTATTGTGGTTTTTCCCCATTTCACTGAGATTGGATGGATTTTTAAATTGCTGTTCTTCCTCCTCATCATTTTTTACTTTACTTTACTTACCTTTACACAATAATTACCTAAAATTTAATGATTAAATTAATGCTGTGTTTTTGTGCTGTATGTCTTTTATCGTCGTTTGTAACCTCAGCCGAAAATGACACGAAAATTATGCCCAGTCCCAATCTGGGGGTAACGACGCCATCCCACACAACCCAGCAGACGACTTCCGGTTTTAAACTGGCCTTCACCAGTTATGCAGCTTCAACGTCAAGTTCATCGGCCAAATTTAGTAATAACTCGCGTGGGGCCGATGAAAACAGAGATGTGAAAAAATCAAGACAAAATATATCTCTACCTTGTTTGTGAGTGGATTATTAGTTTGTCCATCATATAATTTTGCTAGGATTATTTGTTATTACAATCTTATTTTTTTTGTTAGCATTATAATTTTATTTAGCTTAAAGCTTACACACCCACCCACACAATATTTCTTCTCTCTTCCTAACAATCCCCAACCAGAAATTGGTGCAGATTTTCTGATGTCAGCCTTGATGAGTGTTGGAACCAGTCATTAAAATATCACACCAATCAGTTAAAAATCTCAATCGCTAATTTTTATAGCGCTTTACTACACGTCAACAGATGGAAAGTTGCAAACGAAGATGACAGCAAAGACAGCAACAACAAAGAAATTATAGGCTTTGAAAGAGCAATAGTGGAGGAAATATTAAACGCATATCACTACATTCCTAACAACCCGGACGTTGACCAACTCATTCACGACGACGAGGAAGTGATAGTTAATGAGACGACGACGAAACACATATTCAATATTATTCTAGATGAGGTCAATTAATTTTATTTGTTCTATTTTATAATTATTATAATTAATAATTAGTAATATAATAAAATCATAACTAATAATAATTATACGTTAAATGTAATGATACAAATTTTACCATTTTACAGTACAACCAACGAAAACATCATTACGAAGAGGATGAAACGGGCAGAGAACCAATGACATTGCCCTCCCTTCCCTGTCCAATCACGTGCGAGTATTACCCCAAAATCTGGGTCACCTTGACCTTTGTGACGTCATTGTCTTTCATCTTGTTGACGACTATCGTGTTTGTTTACTTCTTTTATGATGTCTGGCTGCCTATGCGGAAGAGATTCAGACCAGTTTCTCTTATTGGCTGAATTAGATAATTTGTTGAATTCTGATTGGTAGTTGATTAAAATCTCGGCTTCTGATTGGCTCGCTGGGTTCGTTGATGTTTTACAAGTTGAAATGTGATTGGCTGACATACTTCAAATGGATGCTTTTCTTTAGTTGATTGGACGTTTTTACTTTGAATCTGTCAGTTTCTTATTGGCTACTGATGAGATTTATTTTTAAGTCAGTGTATTTGAATGGCTGATCACACTTCGTTGACATCCTCCAATTGGTCGATTCCATTTTATTTGTTTTTAGGTCGGATTTTTTGATTGGTTGCATTTGTTGACGACGACGACAATGATGATGAGGACGACGACGATGATGTTGTAAGTAACAATGTTGAAAGTGTGAGTGACAATTGTAAGAATAACAACAATAATGATAATAATAATATAATAATAATAATAATAATGTTTTACTTTTATTTCTAACCAGATTGTTGTTTATGGAATTATATATTATTAGGTGATTTTTTCCGTTGATTTGTTTCATTTAGATATTCATTCATTTATTGTTGTTGGATGGTTTGTTGGTTGATTGATTGATTGGTTGGTTGATTGACTGATTGATTGATTAGATGACTGATTGGTTGAATAAATGTATGAATAGACGATTGATTGATTGATTGGATGGCTGATTGATTGATTGATTGATTGAATAGACGATTAATTGATTGTTTGATTGATTGACTCTAGAACTAATTTATTAATTTGTTTTCTCTATCAGTAGTCATAGTCAGTATACATCGCCATTCTTTTAAGTCATTATTGTTTAATTTATCCGTTCGTTCATTAATTGATTGATTAAATAATTTAATCAATCAACCATTCATTCTTCCGTCAATCATTCATTCATTCATTCGTCAATCCATTCATTCATTCATTCATTCGTCAATCCATTCATTCATTCTCTTGTTCATTCGAAGGTATGTTTTTATTCATTCAATCTATCTTTATGTCTTTTTTCAGTTCATCTAATTTCTCATTCATTTTTTCTGTTCTAATTTTTATTAGATCTCTCACTCATTATACAACTTTATAACATTATTATTATTATTATATTATTTATATTATTATTATATTATTTATATTATTATTATTATGACGAATAAACTTTCAAAAACGCTTTTTATAAA